AAGCCCAAAGCTACACACTTTTAACTTTGGGTTTAAGTAATCATTGTTGTCCCGAGGTTATGAAGGTCTTCAGTTTCACTAGTTCATTCTGGTAGCTTTCATTTCCAGCTCATCTGGGTCCAACATTGGATGGTTGGCAGTTCCGTGCGTAATTCATAGGCATCTCGTAGGGTTAGTCTAATTATGATTGGAATATGTAAAAGAATAGTCGCGTGTGAGACAAGTCTGTTATTTCCCTGAGCCCCAGACCTCTTCCATCCTGAAGTAGACATTTGGTTATGGTGGGTGTTAAGGCCAAAGTCATGTCCACAGAGGCAAAAACCAGTGCCCTCAGCCTTGGTGAGCAGGAGGTGGGTGGTCCTAGCCCAGCAGGCTTCCTGGCCCAGAAGCTCCAGGTCCGGCCCTGACACGGCACGATGGTGCTTCCATTTGTTAGTGTCTTGGGAAGGTGAGTGAGACGTTAGTGAGTCTGCACGTTTACTACTCAGTGTTTACACGTTTGCTTTCTGTATTTTGATAATTGGGTTTCCCAGAGGAGAAGACAAGCCACAGAAAGGGGCACAGGGAGGAGGGTGCCACGCATCTGTGTTTTATTGTTTCAGAGCGTTTGGGGCTGTGATGGACTTCCAGGGCACGGGCAGGGCGAGCATGTCAGTGGCTCTTCATAAAATGAGAGGCTGACTCAGGGGCGGGGGGGCGTAGGGACGCTACAAACTTAAAATGAGAAGGCTTTATAGCGCTTGATGAGAATCTCACAATTTTCAGTGTCCTAGCAATAATAAGTCAACAATAATAATCAGTTGTTTTTATAGAATTTGGTCTTTTGAGCCTCCTGCCTGTTGGAGCTATTTGATTAACTATTTTCAGGTGGTATTTCTGGGGGCGGGTGAAAGAAAGTTGCTACTGAGAAGCCCAATCTGTGTTCCTGTTTTGGGGGCAGATACACCAAATAGGCGCTCTTTCCCCTCTTACAGGAAACCAAACCGGAGCAACCCCAGCCGGCAGCGTGGGCGCGGCGTCAGGAGCCCAGCAATGTTTTGATGCATCCCTCCTTTGGCTTCAGGCCTCCTGCAGTTACTGGCATGTGGGGCTATAAAAAAGCCATCATTTCTCAGAGCATAGCGTAGCAGCCGTGTTCGTTCTTTGTCTTTGACCCAGAGGAGGCTTTTTTTGGTTGACACTTCACTGTTTAGTTGGTGAATTTTGAAATGCTGGCCGGTCTACCTGAGGCTAAGGTGTTTAGAAAATTCAGACCATGGTTCTAAATCAGAACATTCAAATAATAACAAAAGAAGCATTTAAAAGCAAAGGAAATGCAAAGGAAGTGCTCCCACGTGTATTTTCCCTTCTACACCAAACTCTTAAATATTGAGACATAGAGTGAGGTTTTGAATTTATAATATATATTTGTCCATTTCTCCCCTTGATGGTAAGTGTTTTAATGACCCTGGAATAATATTTGTATAATATTTTGATCACTTGTGAGTCTAAAGTGGGCTTCAATTCCATCATAATTAGAAATACCCTTTTCCCAAAATGTATGAGCTTTATGACAGAAATGGGAAGTTAAAAACCAATATTTAATTTTGTATTTGCATGCAGAAGAAAACGCTTTCTATTCTGTTTGATGTGCTGATGTGAAATGTGAGAAATGCGGCTTTTGTTAAACATGGCTGAAATTGGAAGGGTCGTCTTGGGAAGAGGTGAAATGGGCAAGTCGTAGGCTTTGAAGTCGGCTTTTGGGCATATTTTATGATTCTTGTTGAGCCTTCCTGTTTTGGGGCTGGGGTGGGCGGTGTTGAGGTAGGAGAAGCGTACCTGCCTCAGCCGTGAGAAGAGGAAAGCAGGCCCCCTCCTGGACGTACAGCAGGATCTCAGAATCGTAGGGGGACATCTATCCTTTTCTTCTCCTGGACGTACCGCAGGATCTCAGAATCGTAGGGGGACATTTATCCTTTTCTTCCGCTTTGCTCTTGTCAGGACTACAGTCTCTGTATTTCTGGAAGTCCAATCTCATGTGCTGCTTCACAGAGAAACCTCATCCGTCCAGTTAGCGAAGTAGGAGAGGGTAAAGGAAAACGGTGCCTCTTGAGGGACATTGCTAACCTTACAAAAGCGAGCTGGAAAGTGGACCTGGCCCCCAGAAAGCACCGAGTGAAGATTTCCCCTTGGCCTTGCTTAATTGGGCAGATATGGTTGCCTTGCCAGGAAGAACTGATGGGCCGTTTTCACTGTTTCTCTGTGTTTACAAAGTGATTACATAATGCATTTGAGGATCTTGGTTTGTCTTTCTGGCTGGAAAGAGTGTGCAAATACAAGGGCGTCTTTGGGACTTTGGAGGAACAGGTGTCCTGTGAGAAAGCCAGGACCGGTCAGGAGGCGGCCTGGGTTCTAACTCATGAGTCAGCATCCTTTGCCAGTGACACCCTCCCTGTCCGCCCAGTGGTGATGGACAGGGGAGGAAACCCAGAGTAGCCAAGCCTGTATGAGGAGTATTAGTGGGGAGTCGGGAAGTGTCTGAAATCTGAGAAGGGGTCCGGGGCGAGGTGATGGCAGAGTCAGACTCTGCTTACCTCCTGGTCTCACGAGTGGCTGGCGAGACCGAGCAGGTGTGTGTGCACTAGGAAGAAGTGTCCGGGCATGACAGGTGGGCTTCAGCTGGAGTGGGGCTCCCTTGGCCAGGGATACCTGTCGTGGAGCTGGACAGGGTCAGCGTCCTCTGGCTGGCAGGGCGAGGCTTCTCGAGGCTGCTGTTGGCACCAAGACTGTTCATCTTTGCAGGGGTGGAGCTGGTTGGGAAGAAGTCGCGTGGAGTATGTAGGTGCTGTCAGCTGTTCTTGGGAACTATTGGTTAGCATCCCGAATATTCTAGGTGTTGAATAGGAGATGCCTATGGGCTGTATCCAGGTTTTGGTTTTTACATTCTTCCCATCCTAAGATGAGCTGGCTGCACAGTGTTTTTCCAGATCTGCTACATTATCAAAAAAAAAAAAAAAAAAAAGGCATTTCATGCAGTTATAGTAATAGCTAAGGAAAGCAGCGAGCTAGGGGACACACAGGGGTTTGGAAGCGGCACTGTGCTGTCGCAGGGGTGTCCTCGGAACAGTTGTGTCAGGAAGCCTGGGGGCCAGTTGCCTGACACCCCTGAGCCTGGCGGAGCCCCCTCCCCACCAGCTCCCTCCCCTGCCTCTGCCTCCTTTATCAGCCTCAGAAGTAAAGGTTTTATTTATTTATTTTCCTTATTTATTTATTTTTTCGGCTGCGTTGGGTCTTAGTTGCGACACGCAGGATCTTTCACTTTGGCGCTGGCTCTTCCTTGCGGCGTGAGGGCTTCTCTCTAGTTGTGGCGTGCAGGTTTTCTCTCTCTAGTTGTGGTGTGCAGGCTCCAGGGCGCATGGGCTCTCTAGTTTGCGGCCTGCGGGCTCTCTCATCAAGGTGCGCGAGCTCAGTTGTTGTGGTGCGTGGGCTTAGTTGTCCCGTGACATGTGGGATCTTGGTTCCCCCACCAGGGATCAAACCCGAGTTCCCTGCGTTGGAAGGCGTATTCTTTACCGCTGGACCACCAGGGAAGTCTCTCGGAAGTAAAGTTTTAACCATATTTTATTAAGGGATATAATTATCCCCTAATTTAGTGCAAACAAAAATGCGCTGAATTTGCAATCAATACTGCCTTTTGGTTTTATTTGGAAAACTGTGTGAGTTTACAGCAGGTGGGAAACAAGCCCGCAGCGCTCCTCCACTCTTCCTTCTCCCACTCTCTCCTGCCTGTCGGGGGCCACAGCTGGGTTCCAGCTGGGTTCCGCCATCCTTTCCTGCCACCTCTGACTTACCTGGTGGTGCAGTGGCCTCCTCATGGGACCCCCCACCTGCGTCTCCAGGTGTGTCTCCGCTGGCTCCACCCACAGGTTACCCAGTCCAGGCTGCTTTTCTACCTGAGACTCTTCAGTGCTTCTGCGTTTCCTGTGGACTCCCGGCTCTGGCAGGACCAGGAGACCACCCCCTTTCCAGCCTTATCTTGTGTGCCCACCAGCTTGCTTCAGAGACTGTCTTAGTGCTCTGCCCTTCCAACGTGGCAGGGACCCTTATAAGTGGCATTTATGGGGAGCATGGGGCTAAGTTCCCTCTAATTGCAGGTACCAAGGCAGGTGCAGTGCATAGAATTATGATGTTAACTTAGTCATGTTCCATTCCGATGCAGAGAGCGTGCACATCTCAACCACGGCTGGCACAGGTACTGCCTCCGTTAATCTCCGTTAATCTCTTCGAGGGAAGGAGCCTCAGGAAGCAGCATGTGTTCCTTAGGTTCTCCTGTAGGGGCAAGAGAGTGGAAAAGAGGGAGAGAGAAAACTCTTCTCACCCATTCCCACCCGCAGAGACTGAATAGACTTCCTGCACATTCAGACACGTGCTCTGGGTGCAGGGGTTTTCGGTAACGACCGTCACACAGTACTGACTTCACTGGACAGGAAGTGCGCCCCTGGCAGTCAGATCACCAGAGGATGGAGCTTCAGTGTCGACTTGGCCCAGATTCCTGGGCTCTTTTTCCGTCTTGGCAAAACATTTGTTCAATAGCTTTCTGGAAATTTTCTGATTGGAGTATTTCAAGTGGCAACTTAATTTTTTTATTGTGGTAACATATACACAAAATAAAATTTACCACTTTAACCATTTTTAAGCTACAGTTTAGTGGTATTAAGTATGTTCACATTGTTGTGCAGCCGTCACCCCCATCATCTCCAGAACCTTTCCGTCTTATCCAGCTGACATTGAGTCCCCATTAAACACTGACTCCCCGTTTTCCCTTTCTCAGCCCCTGCACTCACCATTCTACTTTCTGTCTCTGTGAAATGTGGCTATTCTATAGGGACGTCATATAAGTGGAGTCATACAATATTGTCCTTCTGTGACTGCTTATCTCACTCAGCACAACGTCCTCAAGGTTCGGCCAGACTATAGCAGGTGTCAGACTCTCCTTCCTTTTTAAGGCTGGAGAATATTCCATCATGTGGATGGACCCTGTTTTGCTTGCCCATCACCCATCGATGGGCGCTTGGGTTGCTTCCCCTTCTTGGCTATCGTGAGTAGTGCTGCTGTAAACATGGGTGTACAAACATCTCTGAGTCTCTGCTTTCATCTCTTTTGGGTACGTACCCAGAAATAGGATATAGCTGTATCATATGGTAATTCCATGGTTAATTTAAATTTCCTCAAGTCCGGCTGACCCACTTTTCTCCCCCTTCCCAACTTTCTTTTTACTTGCTGCCATTTTTGGAGTAGACACTTTGAAAACAGACTTTCACAAGCTACTTTATGTCATAGATTAGCAAGGAAAGTATTTGAATCGGCAGCCTGCAACCCAAATTTGGCACTTAGAAAGCAGCTGTGGGCAGCACGGTTTGCTGTGCTAACTGTAACCATCTTGGGTAGGATGGCGTTAATGCTGGTCTTGGGTAGGATGGCGTTAACACTGGTGAGTTTTTCTAGGGGGAAGGATCTGTGGTTCTGCATGTACACTGGCCTTAATGCTATTTTAAGGGCACTTTCCCTGATGACTTATGGGAAGGTTTATGGAACAGTCAGAGTATGTGGAATTGTTCCGAGCCACTGTTTAAAAAAAAAAGATTTTTCCATCATGTGAAAAATACTGAACATTTCTTGAAGGAGCAGTTGGGTCAGAATGACATTGTTCCGCTTCGGTGAATTTATTATCTTCTGGGAACATTAAGAAAAACCCACTAAGCATTGCTGTATTTATGAGCACTGCATCATGCTTTTGCTGTTCTTCTGATTGCTAGTGGCGTTCCTGTGGATGGTTTGTCTGCTCGTGCAGGGTCATCTCTTGTGTGGTATTATCAGCACCTTTTCTTGACACGATGTGCAGAGATTCTTGACAGTTTGGTCATCCTGGCTAAAAACCTTAGAATCGCTTGGAAGTCTGAGCAGGTGCTGGGACGTGGTGCGTTGTCTCTAGCAGGTCGGAGGATCGCTGGGCTCAGATGCGAAAGTCATCCACTGGGTCAGCAGATGCTGTGGGGCAACACTGCTGCTTCAGTGTGCTGCAGGCCGCCGGGGCACACTCGGACGCGCCTTGGGTCTGTGCCCTGCGTCTCACCGGCAGAGTGTCCACGTGTATCACAAAAGTGCGCAGTTCAGAGAAGACTACCCCGCGCCCCACCCGTACCCCGGCTCCCAAACTGTCTCGTCAACAAGGCAGCAAGAGGTGCATCTCATCTATCCCGTGCGCTGGTCACTGCTGGAACCAGGAGAGGACCTGTCCTTTAGCTTCACATAGGAAACAAACCGAGGCACCAGTCTTGTGCGGTGATGGTTTTGGAGTGCCTGGTTGGTGCGAGGGAAGGACGCTGTTTATGGAGAGCACACGAGGTGGTGACAGCCCATGTGGTCGTCAGGAGGGCCACCTGGCTGTGGTGGACATCCCAGAGCAGACGGGGAATCATGAAGACAGCTCGTTGTGGAGCAGAGCTCTTCTCAAGAGCACAGGTAGACCAGCTGCAGCTTGGTCGCCAACAAGGGTGGGAGTGGCCCTTCCAGCTGGTCCCTGGCATGGTCTGCAAGGATTTTGACAAACCAGGGCCTCTCAGTTGCTGGTGACTCATGTGACATGCAGGTGTCACCCCGTCCAAGGTCACAAACAAGCACATTTTGTTATCTAGTTCCTGACACGTTCTTGTAACTTGCATAACACTCCAGAGTGGAGTCCACATTCTTCCTGGCAGGAGGATAAAACGTGTGTTTTTGTCTGGTGATGAGCAAGGCCATGGTCTGCTCATCGGCAGTGGAAGCAGGGGAAGCAGCACCGTCGGGCAGGCCCATCTCAGGGAGGTTTGCCAGGTGCTAACCGCCTTGCCCCAACTGGTTTCTCCACCGTCTGCATCTTGAGCTTGGCTTGGATATGGTCAAAATCCTCGCAGAAGCGTTGGGTTAGTGTCATCATCCATTCCACTGAAAAGACCAGGCCTTGGGGCCGGGGTGGGGTCTGTGATGTGATGAGGTGGACAGCCTTTTGCTGGCCAGACTGCAGTCCCCCTTCTGGAAGGACTGCTGAGTCACCAACCTCTCCACGCCTGGGTTTCTCTCCCGGAGGTGGGGCAGAGCGCTGGCCGTGGAGGTGGGTGTCAGGGATTTGCTTCAAGGCCGTCCTGGGCAGCCCCAGCTGTGTCTTCGTTTCACAGAATCAGGAGGGGGTTAGGGGGGCCTTCGTGGAACCCTGACACCAGTGATGGTCTCATTTCCATGGGAACTCGCATCGTCTCCAGACTCTGAGTTTCTGCCACACCGTGGTCATAAACCAGGGTGTCTGGTTGTGAGTTTGAGCGATTAGGTTTCTAGAGCTTATCAGAATAGACAGGGCAGGTTGCTATTTCATGCGGAGTGGAGTTGCCTAAAAATAGAGTAGTGGCTTCATTGGTGAGTGAGGGTGTTGACTGTGGAGAAGGGCCATGAAACCTCCACAGTGAAAGAAGGGTCAGACTGAGAAGACAAGGCCAAGGCTGAGGCGTGCCTGCTCCACCCCCACCCGCACGTCTGTCTATTAATATTTCTGCTGCTTTATGACTTCTTGACTGTAATTTCCAGCAAACGTTTCTTGTTGCAGAGTACGGCGTTTGTGAAAACTTGCGGAAGCTGGAGATCACGGGCGTGTCTTGTCGAGACGTCTACGCGAAGTGTAAGTTAATCTGTCACCATCTTCTGTTAACTTGTTCCAGAAGCAGGTGCTCAGAGACATCAGCCACGGAAAATAGAAGTCTATGGCCCTCAGCCCACAGGTGTGTTCTCAGATACGCTTTAAGTTCAGTTTTGACGTTGTAGAGACAGCGCTGGTAGTAACAGCACTGACAAGGTCGGGGGCTCTCTTCTCCCTTTCTGAGTGAATCATGACCCTGATTTTGCAGCGCAGGTGGATGAAGGTGTCTTTCCTCTGGGGAACGTGGCTGCCCTGGAAACAACTCTGGTGTGCTTGGAGGTGCCCGTCTCTCTAGATCCCAGGCCTGCAGCCTGGTTGGAGACGTGGACACCAGGAGCGACTGTGACATGCAGCCGTGACAGCTGCCAGGGCCCCTCCCCGCCACCCTGACCGCACCAGCCCCGGCCCTTCCTTGGCTTGTTTCCTGCAGGCACGTTGAGTCTCCCAGCGCCCCCATTTCTTGTCCCCGCCCCTTTGCTTTCCAGAGTCGCCAGCAATGCTCCGTGATGCCTAGAGCCCCCGACCCCAAGCACCTCTCTGCTGGCCCTTCCTCAGGGCCCTTTGCGTGAGGCTGTGAGGGTGTCCGTTGGCACTGACATCACCCAGGGGCAGTGGGCACACCGTCCTGCGGGGAGCAGCCCGCCTGTCCCTGCCCGGCGGGGTGTGGCGTGTGTTGTTAACACTCGGGGCTGGGTAGTAAAGGACGGGGAAAGAAGGATCACGATGGCCCGCTCCTCTTTGGCCTGAGGTTGACCTGTTGACCTCTCTGAAAAGGACCTTAAGTGTTCATCTTAAAACCAGCTTGGTAGATTTTGGCTTACACATTCTTTATTTTTTTTGTGGTATGTGGGCCTCTCACTGTTGCGGCCTCTCCCGTTGCGGAGCACAGGCTCCAGACGCGCAGACTCAGCGGCCATGGCTCACGGGCCCAGCCGCTCCGCGGCATGTGGGATCTTCCCGGACCGGGACTCGAACCCGTGTCCCCTGCATCGGCAGGCGGACTCCCAACCACTGTGCCACCAGGGAAGCCCTGGCTTACACATTCTTTTGAACTCTGCACCAGTTCTGCCCTGAACACCTAGACCAGATGATGCTTCTTACTTAAACACCGAGAGGCTGGGGACTGGGCTCCTGCTCGGAAAAACCTGTGATTCAGGATGGAGGGACTTCCCGGGGGCCAGGCTGCTGGGTGGGAGCCAGCGTGCTGGAGGCTTCCTTCCAGTGTCAGGGGCTTGCTCGTTGGTGTCGCTTGCTGTGTTCCCTCTTTTCAGTGGATTTGCTGCTCTCAGAGTCCCCCTGGGAGACGCCTCTCCTCCTGTGTCCCGCATCCCCCGCACAGGTAGAGTGTGGACTTCTGCGGAGCGTCAGCTCTGTGGGGAGACAGCCCAGGGGGGGCGCAGTTGGTCCCTGAATCTGGGCTGATTTCTTCATCCCGTCAGACTTCTCTCCACCTCGATCCCGTGGCCATTTGGGATGTTGGGTTGGCCAGTGTTCCTGGGTTAGAGTTTGCTCACGAGCGGGGAGATCTCCTGTTGGAGGCTCTAAGTTCTTCGTGGACCTTCCCCGGCCGCCCTGGGCATGTGTGGTTCTCCATGTTGGCTCTTGGCTGTGCCTTCGAGGCTGTTGCCCCTCCCACCTTCTCTGGGAGCCCTGTGTGTCCCAGCCTCACCTCTGCCACCTCCCCGTATCCGCTTGTCCCCACTTGCCGAGGGGCTCGGGCTGCATCCTCAGCCACCCTCAGACGCCATCCCAACCTAGCGCCCCACCCCACCCCCGTGCCGCTGTCCTTGGTCCTGAAGCCCAGGGCAGGGCGGGTCTGCGCAAGGCCTCCCGCGCCTCCTTCCCTGTGCAGCTTCGCATTTTGGTTTCTTCTCTGGCCTCTGCTTCATGTCCCACCCACCCAAGAGCATGCGTGTCTCCAGGGGAAGTGGGTCTTGGGGCCCGAGTGGTCACGTCTCGTGAAAATGTAACTCCTTCCTGTCTTGTGGTCTCAGTGGTGAGAACAGTGCCACTTTGAACCCTGCAGAGCCCGGAGTTCCAGGGCTGGAAAGGTGGTTGTGTCCCCTTCCCTCCCGTCCCGCCCTCCATCCTGGGGTTGCCCCCAGGGCCCCGCTCCACTCTCTGCTTCAGTGTTGCTCCCCAGCGTCCGTGTCTTAAGTCTCCCAGAGCAGAGAATCCAGGAGGCCACCCTCGCTATGGGCGTCGTGTCCAAGTCAGAGGCACGCTCCCCACAGGAGTCCCTGTGAGCACACAGAAACGAGAGGTTCCTGGCTTTGGGGACGGTCAGCTGTTTCCATGAGGATCTAATATGAGAAGTCCTTATCATCTCACTGCTTTTTGAGTTTGTTAGGCCACTTGATGATATCATCTCAAAGCCACTTGAGTTCTGTCTAAGAGTTGTAAGCCCTCAAAATACTCCTGGAGGGAGGCAGGTGCTCGTACCTGCTAGGTGTTGGGGGCTGAAGCACCCAGAGGAGAACACGTGTGAGAATGAAGGCCCCCACAGAGCTCATCTCAGCTGTGGGCAGAGGGGTTGCCCGGGCCTTGGGGGCATCTGTCCTGTGGAGGGGACGTCTGGACACAGGTGGATGGGCAGGTGAGTAGGAGAGAGGGGGAGGTCCAGGTGGGCCAGGGAGAGGGGACAAGGGCCACGGTGAGGTCACCGTGAGGCAAAGGAGGACGTCTGGAGACTTCTTTGACTGCTGGTTCTTAACCCCTTGAACACGGTTGCCAAATCCAGAGACTGATTCACATTATCTGTTATCAGCACCCCTGAGCGTTTGATCTGCCCCGGCCAAAGCGAGCTTCAGTTTTCATCTTCACAGTGCAGGAACTGTGTTTTTGTGAATTTGCTTTGAAGGCCTTATCCAGGAGAAAATCACTTAGCTTCTGGAATAGGTGGTAGAAGACAGTCGTCCCTAGTTCCTGCTTAGATGGTAGAGTCAGCTACCTCAGTCCAGGGGTGAAGGGGTCTGATTGAGTTAGGAGGCTGGCAAACACGGTCCTTTGTCAAAAACAAAACACACACGTGCAGCAGGTGAAGGACAATGCCAGGTGTGCAGCGGGGCACAGGGTTCCCTACACAGCCACCCCAAATATCTGTGAGCTGTGACCTCTGCCCTCCCACCTCGGTGAGCCCCGCTGATTGTGGTGGGTGATGGGGAGAGAGCCCGGAGGGGGTCCCGAGCGGGCCGGCCATCATGAGTTCCTGGTGTGGATCACTGACTGACAGGAGCACCTGTCACCACAGTTCCTTCTTGGCCAGACCTGCCTCCTTGGCAACCGCTTGGTTCTGGGGGTCGAGGATGTAGGGAAGCGTGTGATGTCGGTGAGGGACAGGCGTTGAGTCCTGTGAAAATGGTTTCTACAGTCGAGAAGGCAGAACCATCTTCAGCCCTTTCCCTGCTGTGTCTGTTCAGGTATAAACCCTCGTGTGAAGTCGGGCCGTTTCATGAAAATTCTTCCCGATTACGAGCACATGGAATACAGAGATGTTTACACCTGCCGTACGTATCTCCTGCTGGCTTCCGCTTTTGTGGGTGAGCAAGACCGAGAAGCTGCATGGATAGGGCCTCTCACTTACAGCACGAGGCAGCTTCGGCCCTGAGATCGAGCTGACCTCCTTGGCGTTTGCTGGTTTGCACTTTGCTGCAGCGTCCTCCGTGGCTTGGCACAACCAGGGTCACTCTTGAGCGGCGACTCCAGGGCAGCTGCACAGACGGGCTGGGTGTCCGCAGCAGCTTTGGGTTTTTGGGTTGTACCAAGCAAGATCACCATGTTGCTGTGCATTTTAAAATTTATTGCTTCTTGAGGCAGAGTGGAAGCCTCAAAACCTTTCTATTGCAAAATGGAACGTAAGCATTCACATCTGGGCTTTATTAGTCAGTCACGTTTGCACAGCATTTGTCAATTCAAAAGTGTACATACACACACACGACAAAAGTGTGTAGAAACAGTTGATTACTTAGGTCCTGATTCCTCCTTCGATTGGCATTACTTGAGCTCTGGAGATTTTCTAAGCCACATTCCATAGGTGATGAATGCTGTCCCTGCCTTTTTTTTTTTTTTGGCGGTACGTGGGCCTCTCACTGCTGTGGCCTCTCCCGTTGCGGAGCACAGGCTCCGGACGCGCAGGCTCAGCCCCATGGCTCACGGGCCCAGCTGCTCCGCGGCATGTGGGATCTTCCCAGACCAGGGCACGAACCTGTGTCCCCTGCATCGGCAGGTGGACTCTCAACCACTGCACCACCAGGGAAGCCCGCTGTCCCTGCCTTTTATTGGGTTCAGCCGAGATGCACTGAAAGCTGGTTTTTTTTTCTCTAAGTTATTAATTTTATTTACTTATTTTTGGCTGCGTTGGGTCTTCGTTGCTGCACGTGGGCTTTCTCTAGTTGCAGCAAGCGGGGGCTACTCTTCATTGCAGTGCGCAGGCTTCTCATTGCGGTGGCTTCTCTTGTTGTGGAGCGTGGGCTCTAGGTGCGCGGCTTCAGTAGTTGCGGCACGTGGGCTCAGTAGTTGCAGCCTGCAGGCTCTAGGGTGCACAGGCATCAGTTGTTGTGGCTCATGGGCTTAGTTGCTCTACGGCATGTGGGATCTTCCCGGACCAGGGATCAAACCTGTGTCCCCTGCATTGGCAGGTAGATTCTTAACCACTGAGCCACCAGGGAAGTCCCGAAAGCTGTTTTTATGTTTCAAGAAGCACAGGGACACCCTTCTGCTCTTTACTCCACCCCTCCGAGTGCTCCTCATGTCGGTGTTGCCACCGTGGGACAGACCCACTCCTGGGTCTTAGAGGTGCACGGTTTTGGGACTTCCCTGGTAGTCCAGCGGTTAAGACTTCGCCTTCCAATGCAGGGGGCTTGGGTTCAATCCCTGGTCGGAGAGCTAAGATCCCACATGCCTAGTGGGCGAAACATAAAGCGGAAGCAATATTGTAACAAAGTTAATAAAGACTTTAAAACTGGTCCACATCAAAAATGATCTTTAAAAAAAAAAAAAAAGAAGTACCCAGTTTCTAATAAAACCTACTCAGAGTAGAGGTAATAGAGTCGTTTGTGGATTTCCTCCTAACCCCCATCAGACTCCAGCCACCTAGCTGCCATGTGCTTGGCTGGCCCCATTTTACTCGGGGTTATCCTGGGGTCCGGACAGGGCTGCCTGGGTGTGGGCAGCATGCTTTGAGGGCGTGTCTGGGCTAACAAACCCACCTTGTGTGTCATCCAGGCCCTGGGGGGATGGGTGTGGGAGCGATCACCACAAGTGTGGGGCTGGGCCGGCTGGCTATGAGGACACAAGTTCCGTTCTTTTCCCTGCCATCTCAGCAGTAGGCTCTCTAGAACATTTTGTCATGGACTGCGCTGCTCTCCCTGCTTAGCAGTCAGTGAGCCCTGGTGCCTTCTCCAGCCCCACAGGAGAGACAGTGACGTAGCTGGTATTGATGAGAACAGCGGATCAATGACACTGGCTGTGCTGACGGGAACTGGGTGCCGCGGGATTTTTGATACAAGCAGACAAGCACTTAGAGGTCCATTATGTCACACTGCTGTCACAGACCTCTTCTGGAACAACAGCCCATCTGGAACTTAATACCATAGGGCTAGTGTGGAATTCTGACCCACCTCTGGGGGTGGCCAGGACCTAGGAAGCACCTAGAGTTGTTTTGGGGGGTGTTCTTTTTGTCCCCAAGCGGTGGGCAGAAGCTTCCTGCAGCTGATGAGGACGAGTTCTGCATCCAGACTTCCTACCATGCTTCTCAGAGACCACGTCCGACGAGAGCCACATGCCGTGATGCCCCCCAGCTGCTTGTAGCTGTATTGCAGACTTGTTTTAATTGGGGACTACTGTCTCATTGAGGTGTGAGTGTAGTTATAAAAATACAGTAGAAAACTTGAAAGATCTAGAAAACATAATGAAAATAACCAGTTGTCAGCATTGGTTGCCTTTCTCTGTGGACTGGTCTGTTACCTGGATGGTCTCCTAAAACATCAGTGAAAACTTACGTGCGTGAACAAAAAACCAGTTTCAACTGAATTTGAAACCTCTGTACGCCCAGGTGTTCTGTGTTCCAGCATCCTAGTGTGTCCTAACCGAGGGCAGCTCGGAATTCATCCTCTGACACTCACCAAAGCTCCAGAGACTTGTGCTGTGATGACTGGCTTGTAAGGAACAAGGCCCTGGGGCTGTTCCTCATCCACTTGTGCTCTTCCTAGAGCCGTGGGGCCTCGTGTCCTCTCGTCCTCTGAAGTCCTCTGGGCCACGTTCCCTTGGACCCAAGAGATGATATCTCCCCACAGCCTTGTGGCCCAGATCAGCTGCTCTTGGTGTGTGTATGTAGCTTCCTGATGGTCTTGATAATCCATGTCTGTAAGGCGTCGGGAGTGTCCTAGGGGGTATATTGCCTTTACGATGGGTCTAACACGTGTCTGTATGTGCTAATCGATGGTGACTGTCCGAGTGCACTTTGAACTTAAAAATAGCGTCGTGTACCTGTAGGGCTCTGGGTTTTGAGGTTCACACCCAGCATCTTAGCAGTGCTTCAGATTGCTCGAGTAGATATGAGGGATTTGGTGGAAACCGCCCCCCTCCACTGGTGAGGAGACAGACCACTTTTAATCCTCAGGTGCAGATAACACAGGGTAGAGTCTTTGGAGGGGAAGGCCCAGTCTGCCAACTGGAGCTAAGAGCACATTGCAGGATGGTTACTGAGGAAGGAAGGAGACCACTGGTAAGAATAAAACAGAAGGGTGCTCCTGGAAAGGGCAGTGGGGCACCAACGGTATGTACGTCTGAGAGAGGAGAGACCCTCTGCTACTTAGTGTCTATGGAATGTTTCTCCTGATTTTGTTCTGTGTGTTGATTTTGTATCCTGCAATGTTACTGAATTCATTTATTAGCTCTAATAGCTTTTTGGTGGTGTCCTTAGGATTTTCTCTATATAGTATCATGTCATCTGCAAATAGTGACTGTCTTACTTCTTCTTTTTCAATTTGAATACCTTTTATTTCTTTTTCTTGCCTAATTGCTCTGGCTAGGACTTCCAATCCTCCATTGAATGAAAGTGGGGAGAGTAGGCATCCTTGTCTTTCAAAAGATTTCAGCTTTTCATTTTGAGTGTGATACTGGCTGTGGGTTTGTCATACATGGCCTTTACTGTGTTGAGGTACATTCTCTCCATACCCGTTTATCATAAATGGATGTTGAATTTTGTCAGAAGCCTTTTCTGCATGGATTGAGATGGTCATGTGACTTTTTAGCCTTCATTTTGTAAATGTGGTGTAGTACACTGATTGATTAGTGGATGTTGCAGCATCCTTGCATCCCTGGGATAAATCCCACTTGGTCATGGTTTATGATCCATTTTGGTTTGCCGATATTTTGTTGAAGATTTTTGCATCTATGTTCATCAGGAATATTGGCCTGTAATTTTGTTTTATCGTGCTGTCTGTGTCTGGTTTTAGTATCAGGGTAATGCCGGCCTCATAGAATGAGTTTGGAAGTGTTCCCTCCTCTGATTTTATTCTAATTACCAAAAGCTTCTAGCAAGTGGCGGGAGATACCATTAGTTGCATGTATGATTTGCCTTTGGGCAAGAAACCTCAGTTCTGCAGTGACAGACGTGGTGATTCAAGAATGATGTTATGGCCTTGCTGGGTGGGGGGCCGCTGTCCCGAGTGTGGTGGGCAGTGACAGCTGCTGGTAGGACAGCAGGGAAGCGACTGCTCAGTATCAGAGCATGCTGTGCAAGGAGAGCTGGATCTTTTGGGTTGGGTGTTGTCCAGTGTATCGGAGTTTCCCACTTGGCTTGTTAAGTGACCCTTCCTGTTGGCAGATGAGAACCCTGCCTAGGACTCTTTTCCTGTTAGCTGCTGAGCTGAGCCGCCCCTTAGCCATCTTGGACTGTTGTTCCTATTTTGGGGAATAGGAGGGTTGTGTTAGAGCCAGGGATGGTTTTCTGAACACAACTATGCTGACCTCGGGGATCAATGGTTGGAAGAGTCTCTGAGCTGGTGCTCATTCTGGAAGGCCCAAGTCCTGCTTCGTGGGGCTGAGAGCAGGAGGGTTGTCGTTATTCTGACTGAGTTTAAGTGTGGTTCTCTGGTGTTTGGGTCCCCTTGCCCACGAATGCCTATCTTCTGTGGTCTCCTAAGAGCTGGGCCCTTTCAGCACACCTGTCTCTGACAGGAAAGCACCCGAAGGGTCTGACCCAGTCCACTTGCTGTCCTAGGTCCCAAGCCCGCCGTCTGCACCTGAGCCGGTGTCATTGGGACTTAATCCCGTTTACTCTCCTGCATGGTCAGTGGTTGTTTGGAAACAACGTCGGGAGGACTTGTTGAGCTGGAATCTTCTTCCAGGCGAGGAGCCCTGGGGTGTGGTCAGCGCCTGGGCCAGGAGGTGCTGTGGATTCTGTCTTAAGCCCGCAGGCCCCTTGTGTGCCCTAGGCAGGGTCCGGGTGCAGGTCAGAGGAGAGCACAGGGGCCGGTGCCTGAGCTCATCGTGCTCCGTACCTCCTGTCGTGGTGACGCCTTAGAGCTGCCCTGCCCAGCAGGCCCCGGGCACACAAGGTCGCCGTGGGGACAGGCTGCCCTCCCACTCCTGACACCTAGAGTTTCATGTGACTCAAGTGGACTCCTTCTGTCTGAGTGCTGCCTGGACTTGCTGAGTCTTTCAGGTCACTTCTACCAAACTAACTCTGAGACTTCTTAAAGAACACGTTATAGAACACAGGTGTCACGTGGCCTGAGGAAACCCCGTGCCTCACGGTCCACATGACGACGTTGGTCTCTGACCTCCCCTCGGATTGTCCTGGGTGGGCCCAGGCTGGGCGAGCCAGCGTCGTGTCAGCGGGGGCGAGGGGCACACCTGAGTCTTCTAATGGGCACAGAGCTTAAAATCCAGAGACAGCTGCTGCTCTAAGCACACATGGAAGGCTGAACTCCCCTTTGGGAATTGCTGAGTCTGGGGCATATTCTTTGAACAGTCTTTCCAGGGGCTTTGAGATCAGATTGGTTGATCTTGGAAAGAACCAGACGTTGTCAGCAGTCAAGTTGGGAGATGAGGGGAGGGGAGACAAGAGAAGACCATGCTGTATGGGCCCATTTAATTTTTTATCCACTATTTTATCGTGAAATTTTAAAAACACACAGAAAAGTAGAAAGAATTGTGCAGTGAACACCCATTTACCCGATTCCATAGCACCCTGCTCCACTTCACTCCCACACACCTGTCCCTCCGTCCATCCTGTTTTGCGATGCATTTCAAGGTCACTGGCAGCCATCAGTCAATTTCACCCCTAAACACCTGAGTGTGTGTTGCACTGTCTGAGTTCAGTATTTGTTTATGGCTCCTGACCCTGCTTATTATTGCTTGTTTAACAAACACAAAACCTGTCAGGGTGTGGCCACAAAATAACCACTGGCTTCAATGTGCGTCTTGTAAACCGACTCAGAGGATTGCACGCGGTGTGAGTGGCAGGCGCCGTGCAGGCCATCGAGGCTCATTTAGAGAAGTGTGTCTTTAGGCTGAAACCTAGGGAACGGTTGGTATTTTCCCACCAGCCGTCGGCATGCCCTGCAGGCTTGGGATGGTTCTGGCCTCATGTTCCTCTTCTCTGTTCCCCAGACCAAGTGGTGGCTGGAGAACTGCTGTCTGGGCTCAGGTCCCTCTGGGCTCTGCTGCTTGGTCTTCCTTCCTGAAGTCGGTTGTGATGATGCAGCTCTAGCACTTGGAGACCGTCCATGGCTCCCACTGAGTATTAGCCAGGGTTTTCAGACACACAACCAATGTCTTCATGTATAAAGAGATTATTATAAGGAATTAGATCGCACAGCTGTGGAGGCTGACAAGTCCCAGGATCTCCAGTCAGCAGGCTGGAGACCCACAGGAGCTGATGGTGTGGTTCCAGTCCGAAATCCGGCAGCCTCCAGACCCAGGAAGAGCCCATGTTTCAGTTCGAATCCAGAGGCTGGAAAAGACCAATGTCCCAGCTCAACGCAGTCGGGCAGGAGAAAATTCCCGTGTTTGTGGGAGGGTTAGCCTTTTTGTCCTCTTCAGGAAGAGCCCATGATTTAGTTAGAGTTCGAAGTTAGAAAAGGCTGATATCCCAGCCTGCAGCCAGGCAGCAGGAGTGTCTCCTTACTGGTGGGAGCACCAGCCTTCTTCTGCTCGGGCCTTCAACTGATTGGACAAGGCCCACCACACTAGGGGGGGCAATCTGCTTTCTCTGTCCACAGATTTAAATGTTAATCTCATCCGGGAACACAGACATACCAGAATAATGTTTGACTACGAATGTCTGGCCCCCCCATGGCCAAGTCCAGTTGACATATAAACTTTACCACCACACACTGGCTGCAGAGAGACCCCAGACCCTGAAGCTGGCAGGCAGGGCCTGCATGAGCTGGTTGTCTTCTTTGTGCAGTTTGCTCATTCTTTCACTTGTTCACTGTTCACTCAACAAATACACATGCAGAGAAAATGGAAGCGAAGGACTCTTCCCAGGGCATTTACTGTGCTGGCCATGGCCGTGTGCAGTGGGGTCTCAGGACGGCATCAGGTGCCCTTTTCTCCCGTTGCCCTCAGTGAATATACATGCGCTGCTTTTGAAATAAGGGGGAATGTGTGTGTGTGTGTGTTTAAAAGAAAGACAGATGATCCAATTAAATCTTACTCTACAGCCCCATGATGTTTTGGACTCTGCCCCGGTAAAGAGTCCCACATCTCCTCCGTTGTGTAGACTGATGGGAGGGGAGGTTCATTGCTTCACAAGGGCGCCCACTGCACGTCCTTCGAGGCAGCAGTTCCTTGTCATTGGAGCTGATACGCAGAGGCTGGGTTTCAAAATGACCCAGGTGTCTGTTACATTTTTACTCTTAGAATGATTTAGACACTTGTAATATTTGCTTGAATCCACATTTGTTTGCAAGGCTCTGTTACGAGCCTCCGTGAGGGATTTCTTCACACATCCCTCCTCTTCCTCACGCCCTTTCCTCCGATTATTGACTGTAAAGTGAAGATCAGCTGGCTCTGATGAAGTCCTGTCCTCTCTCTCTCCCTGTAGTGCTTCACCGATACAGACACATTTTGGGACTGTGGCAGCCAGATATCGGGCCGTATGGAGGACTGCTGAACGTGGTGGTAAGTCCCAGAGCATCGGGCCTGGGTTCTTGCGGACGGGACTGCGTCCTCCCTCCAAGGGGCAGGCCAGTTGTTCACAAAGACTCATTGGGCCAGGTTTTATTTTCCTAGCGAGCAGAGATTCATTTTAAGTAGCTCTTGGCTTCTGCTACACCCACGAACTTCGTGGTGACGGGATGCCTTCCCCGGTCCCTGCCTCTTGGACACTCAGGGCCATCGGCCTTCACACCCCCGGGGCACTCCAGTGTTGGCTTGTGCACTGGTTCGTTGCCCTAAATCGGGTCTGCAGGCTAAAAGAAAAGGAGGCCATGTGGGGCCCTCGGAGGCTGGCCCTAGACAGAAAGCCCACGCCAGGCCCGCCCCACCCGGGGACCAAGTGGCATAGGCTTGGTGTCATGGCAGGTGTCTGTCCCTTCTCTTCAGGCTTGCGCCCTGAGGTCTACAAGCAGCATTTTAACTTTACTTTATTCAGGCTTTATATCTGGTCTCAGCAGGAGGGGCTGTTTGATACAAGCTCCTTGGTCGTAGCCAGGAGAAGAGTCTTCTGGTTTTAATTTTTATATGCTTCTAGGTCACTTGCCTAGAAGCATATAATAGCTGCTCATTTTTGGGTCCATTTGAGAAACTCAGATCTGACTTTTCTTGGGCTTAACTGGTGTCGGTGTCTAGCAGGATGCAGCCCTCGCCGGTGCTCTTGCCAGGCACGAGTGGTGCCTCTGGGACAGAAGCCGGGACCTGAGTGGGGCCATTGTACTTGCTGAGCTCTGGGCAGGGGCCTGGCCTCGATGTTGCCGCAGCTGATGGTGCAGGGAAAACACAGCCAGGTGCCCTTTGGCCGGCGCTGCACACGCGCTTGGCAGGCCAGAAGCCAAGTCCAGGGGACTGGCTGCAGCTCGTGTCACGGCTCATGGGTCTGCCTCACTGTGGCCTTTGGGGCCCCCAGGGAGTCTCATTGTGGCCTCCCCCGAGCTTGGTTCACGTAGGCCACGGGGTGACTGGATACTTCGTCACTCTGTATTTTGCTCACCAGGTGGGGTTTGGGCAGGGATAAATATTGCTTCATATTTTTTATAATTTGGTGGAAACATCTGTTAAGAAACTTGCTCTACATTTGTTCTGTTTAGTATCACTGGGGAAGCCTTGCTTTTAGAACATTCTCACAGGGGCCAAGACAGACAGCTCCCAGCGTGGGCAGGTTCTTTCCTTTCTTTTCGTCGGGGAGGGTGATAATTGTTTGTCTTACTGGCAGTGAGTAATAGAGTTTAAAAAAAAAAAAAAGGCTTCTGAAAGCAGGGGATAATTAGGGGAAAATGGAGCCTATGACAGAACACCGCCAATTGGCTCTTGTCTCAGATGGTTAGCGATTAAGTTCTCTCCTCTGTCGCTAGAGCCGGAAGCTGTGGACCCAGGCTCTGCCAGGAAGGCAGGAGCGACTGCTGGGGCATCCCCAGTGGGCTACAGAGGCCACCCCCTCCCCTCCACTGAGAACGTGCCTGGAGACTGCCCCCTCCTTTGACCTGATCACCACTTTTATCATCTGCCATTTTGAACACATACAAGGGTAGTGGGAATGGCTGGGTGAACGCCCACAGACGCCCACCTCCTGGACTCAGAGGTTGGCCGTAGTGCGCCAGGTTCACGGTGTCTGTCTCTGCCCCTTTGCCTTTTCTTTTCCATATTCTAAAGCAGATCCCAGGCCCGTGTCAGTTCATGTCTGTACTTCAGTGTGGATCTCTAACCATGTGGGTGTTTCGCACGTTCCCACACATGTGAGGTCCTGACCACGCCTCACAGCAGTGGCAGTAGTTCCTGGATTACCTGAGGCCCAGTCCACGCTCGAGGCTCCCTGACGGTCTCAGAACCGCCTTCGACAGCTGGCTTGTTCACGAGGATCTAAGCAGGCCCTCGCGCTGCCTGCTTTGTTTTGCCTCCTGAGTCTCTTCTGTGGAAAGCAGCACTCCCGTTTTCCTCTGGTCAGTTGCCCTACTGGGTGTCGCACTTTCTGGATCATTCCAGGTTCTTTCTTATGTCTTTTAGCTTGTCCTCCCGGCATCTACCCACCCCCACTTCATAGCTGGAAGTTCTCTCTAAAAGGTTTGCTCGGATTTGGGGCTAACCACTATATTTTCTATTAAAACATTTAGTTACTTTTTCAGCTTTATTTAGGTATAATTGACAAAACTGTAAGATATATAAAACGTACATTGTGGTGATCTGATTTGATGTACAAGTGCACTGTGGAAGGATTCTCCCGTCTAGTTAATTAACGTACCCATCACCTCACATTTTTATTTTTTTTTTGAGGGGTGGGGAGAGCACTGAGTTCTATTTCTTAGTAGATTTCAGTGATATAGCAGCGTTATCAACTTCAGTCACCACGTTTCATAAACCACTTTTCGATTAACACACACTGGTGGGCGGGGCCGTGCTCGTCCTGCTGCGCTAGATGGGGGCCCAGGGTCCCCGCGGGACCGGAGTGTGAAGACAGGAATGGTCCTCGTGGTGATCTGGGGGGTGCGAATGCTGAGCCTCCGCCTCCCCCTCAGCCGTGTGTGGACCTCTGCACAGGTGGATGGCTTGTTCATCATTGGCTGGATGTACCTGCCTCCCCACGACCCTCATGTGGACGACCCGATGCGGTTCAAGCCCTTGTTCCGAATCCACCTGATGGAGAGGAAGTCGGCCACGGTGGAGTGCATGTACGGCCACAGGGGGCCCCACAATGGCCACGTCCAGGTGAGCACACGGGGCAGCGTGTGCAGGTAAGGGGCTGGGTCTCCTCACTTCGTCCCGGGCCTGCTGCCAGCTGTTTGCCAGGGTCTTCCCAGCTGTGCACCACGCCCATGCCGGCCAGCAGGACCGGGAAGCGGGCCCTGGCCCGGCCCTTCTGTGCGCTATGCCGCTGTCGCTCCTCAGAGATTCACTTTCCAGAGCCTCCCCTGATTCTGCCTCTGGTTAGAGCCAATTGTCCTTCCAAGCGAGATTCCTCACTGTTCCTTTTTCTCCTCTTCGCAAGGGCATCAACTTGGAACCAGACGTTCTGCTCTCGGATGTGGGCCTGGCAGGTGGCCAGCCCGAGAGCAAGCCTGTTCTCTATCTCAGTAGGAGAGCGCCAGCCCCTCTGTGCTGCTCTCGGACCCCCTGGGGGACAGCGACGCCTGGCCCCCTGGGAGGGAAGCGTGTGCTCAGGGGGGTTCCAGCCTTCCTTCTTAGAGCAGCTGCGATCTGATGGCCTCTTGGGGTCCTGTAGATGAGTGGGATGCATGGGTGCGGGAGGGACTGGTGCACGCCTGCTCTGGTGGGGGTTAGGGGCTGACTCGTTACCCTTTCTCCTTGTTGTGGACACTCAAGATCGTGAAGAAGGACGAGTTCTCCACCAAGTGCAACCAGACGGACCACCACAGGATGTCTGGTGGGAGGCAGGAGGTGAGGCCGGACCCTCCTGTCCTGCGGGGCAGCTGAGAGGGTGGGTGGTTTAAAGGGAGGGCCGCCTCCCGGGCTCATGCTGGCGCTGTGGACGTGTGTACTGGGCCCAGGTTCTGAGTCCCCACCACCCCCAGGATGAACGGGACGAGTAGAAATAGTTTTCTACCTGGTTCTCCGTCGCCCCTTTGACAACAGGCCCGTGGGTGGTGGGGTCTCTTCCTGGATGTGAATTGCAGGGAGACCAGAGGCCTTTATTGGCGTGAACCCCGTGGTGGAGGTTCCCAGGTCACAGCCATGTGGTGGGTGAGCCTGCGTGAGTGTCTTCGGGTTTCCTTTCTGCACGAGTAATCTCACATCGCCTTTGAGTTTTAGTTACACCACCATCTCGAAACATTCTTAGGAAAACCTCAGACCTTTAAATACAGGATGCTCGTTGCATTTATTTGTCGGGTGCATCTCTTAGCGTTTCTGAGTCTGCTGGGTCCCTGGTAGCCAGGGGTCTGCGGGGAGACAGCGCAGATGGAGAGTACACACGTGCTGCTTGGAATCTGTTGGGGGTAAACGAGGCCCTTGTTTTCCCGAACGCGTGGTACGTGAAGGTGACGGTAATGACGTGCTTCCTTCCCTAATAACACTGTCATTCACAGTCTCACGTACAACCACATACACATCAGTGGCTGTTCCAAGTCCACTTTTAAGTGAAACACGTCAACAGCATATTTTCCAAGAATAGAACCTCCTCAGCTGTTGAGACCTTAAAAGGGCCATGTATGGATTTCTGGAAATACACGCTCTGGGATCAGAGAAAGTTCCTGCGAGCCAACTGCCGTGTGTGGCCTCACCAATTTGGAGACGGAATGGTATTTTTTCTCATTATGAAGGTAATAACATGCTCCTTGTGGGAACTAGAAAAACACCTAGAAGTTAAGGTGAGAATAAAATGCTTTGTTGGAATCCTGACTTTGGTGGTTAATTTGTATTTCTCTTCTGTCTGAGGCTAGGATTAGTGTCCTGTGGGTCCTTTTCTGTGAAATCTGTGTTCATACCCGTTGCCGGCCCTGTTTGCTGTTGTTATGTTTCTAATTGATTTGTAGGAGTTTTCATCCTGTGAGGAAGTGAACCCTTCAAGATATGAGATGCAAATATTTTTTCCTCCTTCATTCTTTTGTCTTTTGGTTTGAAATGAGGTATGTTTTCACTTGTAGAATTTAGTTTTTAATTTTTATATTTGCAGTTGTATCTGTCTTTTCCTTTTTTTTTTTGGCCACACTGTGTGGCTTGCGGGATCTTAGCTCCCTGACCAGGGATCAAACCTGGGCTCTGGGCAGCGAAAGCGCAGACTCCTAACCACTGGACCGCCAGGGAGTTCGCCTTCCTGAATAGCTTCTTAGTTTTTAATTTTTTTTGCGGTACGCGGGCCTCTCACTGTTGTGGCCTCTCCCGTTGCGGAGCACAGGCTCCGGACGCGCAGGCTCAGCAGCCATGGCTCACGGGCCCAGCCGCTCCGCGGCATGTGGGATCTTCCCGGACCGGGGCACGAACCCGTGTCCCCTGCATCGGCAGGCGGACTCTCAACCACTGCGCCACCAGGGAAGCCCGTGAATAGCTTCTTAGTTTGATATCATCTTGAAATCCTTTCCCCACTTTGAAATTACACTTACAGACGCGCTTGTGTTTTCATTTTCACGCGTTTGTTTCCCACATTTATCGCTGGTTCTGTGGGTTTATTCTGTAGAGTGAGCTTCAGCCCGCCTTGGCTGTAGTGCAGGTACCCCTCAGTCACCCCAGCACTGGTGCTGAGTGATGCACGTTTTCTCTACGATTCAAAATGCCATCTTTGTCCTGTGCTGCCATTTGAATTTGATTTTCTTCAGGTAGATCGTGCACGTTTGTTGTAAAGCGTCTGGTCTTTCGTTGCTGTTGTAAATGGACTCTTGGCTCTCGTATCTTTCAGCTGGTGACTTTATATATAGAAGCTGTTGCATGCCACCCGTCTTACTGCCTCTTCTCTTTCATTTATGAGCATCTTTGAGTTGATTACCTTGAGTTTTCCAGGATAATACTGATTATCTGCAAATAATGACATTTCCTTCTTCCTTGACCCCTTGTGGTGAGGACAACACCCTTGTCTAGTGGTGGGTGTGGTTCACATGGTCCTGTCACGAGGCAGCAAGGTGGCCTTGGGGTCAGGATATACATTATTATGCTAGGGATGGAGCTGTTTATCCGTGTTTTATTAAGAGGGCTTTGTTTTAATTGAGAAATGATGTTGAATTGACCAGTTTTTTTTAGCATCTGTGGAAACCATCAGGTGATTTTTTTCCCCCTTAATCTAGTAATGTGATGACCTATGTTAATAGATTTCTAACCACTTCGAAGTCGTGAAAAGAGAGCTTGTTTGATCGTGGGGCACAGTTCTCTCTGCTCCTGGCTGCTCTTTGATCCTGTTTTATTTAGGACTGCTGCATTGATGAACGGGCTTGGTCTAACATTTTTTGTGCTGTCTTTGGCTTTAGGAGCAGTCTTTTGCTGGCTTCTAGAACTGGGGAGCCTTTCTTTTCTCTCTAGGCCTCGGAATCATTTAATAGTGGACTTGGAACTCCTGCCGGTCTGGGGTGGGGAGATGCCGCACGTCTGCAGGCAGAGCAGGGGCTGGGCTGCCTGAGGTGCCGAGGAATCCATCCTAGGGGCAGGGGGGCAGGGGGGCTTGCTGTGTGAGGCACAGTCACTCTGTCCATCTCAGTTGCCCGGGGCCACTTTGCTGGCTCCTTGTGCCGTCTCCTGTCTCCCTCCCTCTTGCCCTCCAAGGGGGGAGCTGGGGGACTGGGGGACGGGTTCTCCCATGGATTCCTGTGTCAGCCTGAAACATCTTCACTCTGTAGCTGAGTCTTTCAGACCCAGAGCGTGGCTTCAGGCTCCAGGGAGAGAGGAGGAGCCGTGAGGTGGGCACTGCCGTGTGTCCTGACAGCTCTGAAGAAGAGGTGAAAGTCTCGGCCCCGGATTCCGGGCTGCTCTGTGCTCTGATGGTTGATAGTCACTTAAAATTCTGGGCCACAAGGGTGCTTCCCAAGGGAATGGAGGACTCCTGGTGGCCTAGGAGGGTAGGAAGGTGAACGGGCCTTGCTTATCACTGTCTCCAGGCAGAAGGCTGTCCTTGGCACCGTGGAGAGATGTGGAGGTGCCCGCCCCAGCCCCTGCAGGCCGTGCTGGCTGTGATCCCTTCGTCAACACCCAAGGCCAGCTCTGCATAAGCTGCATCCTGAGGCTGCCAACCGCCCCATTCCCCATCCCAGGCCCCAGTTCTGGGACTTCCGCCAGCTTTGTGCACCTTCCAAGGCCACGTCCTGCGGCGGGATCTGGCCCCTCAGGACTGGGGTGTCCTGCTTGCTCCTTACGTGCCCCTCCTGGGGGCCCTCCCTGTGCTGCTCAAACTGCAGCTTCATCTCCTGGGCCTTTGAGAGCAGCTCAGGCCTTCGCCCGCCCAGACCCCAGCAGTGCGTCTGCTCTCTGGCTCCCGCTGCAGACGCTGCCTGCTCTTCTTCCTGGCTCTTCCCTCCCTGCCCACGCCCGTCCAGGCCCTGCAGCCTGAGGCTTCTGGAAATCGGGGTTGGGGGGGCGCTGTGAGGGGGAGCAGAGGTAGGGAAGGGCGTGTGGCCTGGCCCTACCTGCGGTTGCTCGGCCCTGCAGAAGGCTCTGGCGCTGGACTCCCCTCAGTTGCACACAAGTGGCTTTTATTTTGCTTTCCTTTGTCTTATGTACTTTCTCGCCACATTCCTAAAATGATACCTCATCATCATCAGATCCGAAATCCTCAGAATCGGGAGGGAAAAGAGTGCTGACACAGCCCCACAAGGAGCGGCCTCCGTGCCCGTCCTCCATCATCCCTTCAAATTTCCTTCAGCCTTCGTGATGTCATTGCAGTCTAACTATCTAATTTGGATAGTTTTTCTATTTTTTTTTTAGCTTAACCGTTGTTCCAGAAACATTTCCCAGTCTCATTAGATTTCTTTACGAACTTTTTTTTTTTTTTGGCCATGCTGCGCAGCCTGCAGGATCTTAGTTCCCTGACCAGGGATTGAACCCATGCCCCCTGCGTTGGAAGTGTGGAATCTTAACCACTGGACCACCAGGAAAGTCCCTACAAACTTTATTTTTAATGCAGCGTTCCATCTGTCATCTGCTGCGCTGTAATGACTGTAGGTGTGTGACCATCCTGTAGTTGGACTTGGGGTTTGTGGTCAGATATTCCCCTGTTACCCTCCTGACCATGTGACTCAGTGACTTAGCTTCTGGGAGCCTCAGCCCTTGTCTGTAAAATGGGGCCATGAGATTACCTGCGGTGCCGAGTGATTCTGGAGGGTTGAGTAAGACGCTGAATGACTTAGTGCCAGAGCTGGTCGGAGCCGCCCAGGAGAGATGCCGGGCATTATTACTGTGACCCACTGCCTGAACTCTGCAAAAACGTTGTGGTTTTGGATTGTACAGAAATGGAATTGGGTAAAAGGCCCTGAAGGTATTCCAGATTCTCTTTACATGCTGTCAGTTTGCTGGTCCCCGTTTACAGCCCACCAGGGCACGTTAGCCCCCTGCCTCACCACGTTCCTGCCAGCCTTGGCATTGGCCCTGGCAGAGGTGAGACCGGTTAGCACGTGGCCTTTGGTTAGGTTTAATTCTGCCACCTGCTAGCTGGGTGGCTCTGGAAAGGTCTGTTGACTTTTCCAAGCCCCAAACCTCTGTAGAACAGGGAAGATGTTAGCACCCAGCTCCTAGGCCGCTGTGCAGAGTGAAGCAGTGATGGGGCGGTGTTAGCCGTGATGGACGAGCCCTGGGTCCATAGTGGACTGAGTCTTGTCTGATATGTTCTAGGCCCCTGTGTTTTTCCTTGTGGATACATATCTGGTAAGATAATTTCATAGTAAGCATATTTGTTCTGAGTAATTGGGTCTGCTTGGTATTCTTAATGACTGACCTTCTCATGCAAAGTAAATAAGATTATGATTGTTCACAGGCCAGCTTCATGGTATTTAGCTCAAGTCTGATTATGCACCATGGCAACACTGAAATCACTACATTCTTTTACTTCCATTTTTATCTGTTATTTCTCTATTCGATTTTTTTTTTAAGGGCCTACCCTTCATGAGTTAAGCCACTTAAGTGGAAGATTTTGATTTGGGTGAAGTCTAATTTGTCCAGTTTTTTCCTTAGTGGTTATTGTTTTCTGTCTTAAAAAACTTTGCTTACCCTCCGGTTGCAAAGAGAGTGTCTCTCTCTCTCTCTCTCTTTTCTTTTTAGAAGTTTGGTAGCTTCACTTTACTTTTCGGTCTGTGACCCATCTTGAATGGTTCCTGTGTGTGGTGTGAGGTGGGGATCGGGGCTCCTTTGCTCCCTGTGGTTGTGCAGTTGTTCAAGCACCATTTGTGTAAAAGACTTTCTTTCCCTGGGAGGTGGCTTGGATGCTGTGATCGAAAGTCCACTCCTGAGACACACGTGAGTGTTTCCAGGCTCTCTCTCTCTCTTTTTTTTTTTCTGGCTGCGCAGCTTGCGGCATCTCAGTTCCCCAGCCAGGCCATGGCAGCAAAAGCCTGGAATCGTAACCACTAGGCCACCAGGGAGCTCCCTCCAGGCTCTGTCTTTACTTCTGCCCTCTTGCTCAGGTACCATCTCGGTTACTGTTGTCTTGTAGTGGGTCACAGTGCACGCTAGTGTACATCCTCCAACCTTGTTCTTTTGCAAGATTGCTGTGGATGTTCCAAACGAATTCCAGAATCAGCTTGTCAGTTTCTACAGAAAGCATGGTGGGATTACGATTGGCCTGATGTTGAGTCTGTAGATCAGTCTGGAGACAGTTGCTGACCCAATACCAAGTCTCCCGGTTCGCAGGTGCCTCTGCTCTGTAGGCCTCTTCCCCCGCCTTTCAGCAGCATCTAGTGGTTTTCGGAGTAGAGGTATCACATGTTTTGTAATGTTTATTCCTAAGTCCTATGTCTTTTGAGGCTGTTGTAAGTAGGATTTTTAAGTTTTTTTTTACTTTCCAGTTTTGTGCTGCTAGTGTACAAAAATTCAGTTAATTTTGTGCATGGACCTTGTAGTTCTAATGTTGTTTATTTCAGTCACTAGTAATTGCTCTTCTTTGCCAGGGTTTGGGCAGTAACATATTAAAGCAATTGACAGATTGTAGCTTTCTTTTTTCTTTTTGTAAATTGCTTTTGCTTCTGTTTGTAGAGCTAATTCTAGATATTCATTAGAAACACTCTGTTGAGTTAGGATCCCAGAGCTGTGGATTAGTTATGTCAGGTGTACAGAATGAAACCGTTAAGCACTAAATATCCTTCATTGTTCGATTCCATAATGAATTATTGGGCTTTGCGGATGAGGTAGTCATAAAAGTTTTCTTTTTACAAATATACTTACTGAACATAACTGTGAAGGCACATTTTATTCTATTTTATTAAAAAAATTTTTATTGAAGTATAGTTGATTTACAATGTGGTGTTATTTCCTGCTGTACAAAGTGAATCAGTTATACATATGCATATATCCACACTTTTTAAAATTCTTTTCCCATATAGATTATTACAGAGTATTGAGTAGAGTTCCCTGTGCTGTACAAGTAGGTCCTTATTACTTATCTATTTTATATATAGTAGTGTGTACGTCAATCCCAGTGAAGGCACATTTTTTTTTTTTTTTTTTGCGGTACGTGGGCCTCTCACTGTTGTGGCCTCTCCCGTTGCAGAGCACAGGCCCTGGACGCGCAGGCTCAGTGGCCATGGCTCACCGGCCCAGCCGCATGTGGGATCCTCCCGGACCGGGGCACAAACCCGTGTCCCCTGCATCGGCAGGCGGACTCTCAACCACTGCGCCACTAGGGAAGCCCTGAAGGCACATTTTAAAAAGGAGAATCCACCCACACTCTCTGCCCCGCCTGTCCCTGTCCTGTTCCTCATTGGTGGCTACAGAAGGCAATTCTGCTGACTTGGCCGGCACGGGGGTCTGCTGTGCCCACTCCCCCAGAAACCTGAGAACCAGGCTCAGTGTAGACGCCACCTGTGTGGGTGGCACAGAAGCGAGGCTTGCCCAGCAGCCTCCTGGGCGCTCTCGACATGGGCTGCGGCCCCATCCTCCCCGAAGGACCCCCACGGTCCCTGCGCTTCCTTCCTGTTGAAGTCGGGCGGGGGAAGTGGGGACCAGAGCCCCTGGCGCCACGCCTCAACAGGAAGGGAGGCCAGGAGCTGGGAGACCAAACACACAGCAGCCCCCCTCCCTCCTGCCCGGCCTCTGTCTTCATCCCATGCACTCAGCGTCACAGCCTCTCCGAGCCCTAGTGTTGTGGCGGTTTTCGTGACCTGTGTTCTCTCGAAGGAATTCCGCACGTGGCTGAGGGAAGAATGGGGGCGGACGCTGGAGGATATTTTCCACGAGCACATGCAGGAGCTCATCCTGATGAAGTTCATCTACACCAGTCAGTACGAGTAAGTGCAGCCCCTCGCTGGGTGTGAGCGGCCTGTCTCAGGTACTGTGAACACCGTCTCCCGGTGGGTGCTGTGTGCACAGTCCCTCTCTGGGTACTGTGAACACCGTCTCCTGGTGGGTGCTGTGTGCACAGTCCCTCTCTGCGTACTGTGAACATGGTCTTTTTCTCAGGGTGCTGTGAGCACACTCCCTGGCCCACCTCGGTGTCTGTTGGACTATCATCAGCCACCAGCTGTGTGCTGTCACGGGCCTGGCCTGTGTGTTAGAGCCTCATAGTTGCTTTCCCATGTCTACCTGGAGGGCCTCTTAGCCTCCCTGCTGCCGTGCCCTCTGCCCCCGGACCCTGTCGCATGGCCCCTGTTTAGCCCCTTTGCAGTCTCAGGGGTCCCTGCCCCGGGGTGATGGAGAAGGTGTGAGGTGTGCTGTGCACATGTTGGGGAGCATAGCTCAGGAACGAGGGGTGCCCCTAGTGGGGAGCTAACCCTGGCTGCCCTGGGCCACCCTGCCCAGCCCGCCCTATGCAGCATGGCCGGAGGTGCATGAACTTTGTACTCCTGCCCCTGCTCCCGTGCGGCTCTGTGGCCGAGCTCTCATGCTGCCCGCTCCCCCTGCAGCAACTGCCTGACCTACCGCCGCATCTACCTCCCGCCCAGCCACCCGGACGACCTGATCAGGCCTGGCCTCTTCAAGGGCACCTACGGCAGCCACGGCCTGGAGATCGTCATGCTCAGCTTCCACGGGAAGCACGCCAGGGGCACGAAGATCACGGTGAGTCCAGGGGCTGCCCTGGCAGGCCCAGCACCGTGTGGACTCCATCACGTCGGCGTGGCGTAGTGTGACTCGGGCCGCACCCTGGCTGCTCAGTGTGGGCCCCGGACCGTGGCACTGCTTCCCCGGGGAGCTTGCTGGGAACGCAGGCCCCACCCAGACCTGCTGATCCAGGGCCTGCCTTCCATAGGATCCCCCGGCGATTCTGAATGTTTCCAAGGCAGCCTTACCACACGGCTCTCAGCCCTGGCCACACCCTGGATCCCTGGGGAGGTGGAGGAGACACTGATGCTGGGGCCCCATCCCAGAGATTCTGATTTAATGGGGGTGGGCCGGGTGAGGGGCTCCAGGAGCTCCCTGGGTGACCCTGAGGTGTGGCCATGGTGGACACCCTCTGCATTAGCACTCCGGCCCCCGTGGCCTGTCCTGGCCTCAGCAGCTCGGGAACGCAGTGGGAGGATTTCTGAGCTGAGTGGGGGTCCCGACGACAGGCCCTCTGTCACCTGCTCTAGGGGCTGCTGTCCACGTGCTCGCCTGTCGCTGTGCAGGTGTGGTGGGGGGGAGTCTCTGTGGAGACGCAGAGCAGGCCTCTTCCTGGTCCTCACAGGGCACTGCTCGCAGCTCCGTTGGCCGGGCTCCCTGTGGACGAGGGCCTGGGACCAGGCCGTGGGGCCTGGGCGTTCTCCCAGGTTCATGCTGGGGAGCTTTCGTGTTCCAGGCAGACAGTCTGGGCTGTGTTTCCGGCCTGTCCCCCGTCTGACCGGGGAGGGTCCATGGACCTCTCTAGGCCACGCATCTCTTCAGCTGTCACGCAGGCTGGCTCCCACCTGAGGTCTTTGGGCGCAGATGTGCCTGCGGGCCCTCCCAGGGTCACTCGTGGGTGCTGTTGTTCCGTGTCCTCAGAGGTCCTTCACAGAAGGCTGCCTGCGCTGGGTGCTGCTTTGTAAGGGCTTCTAGGATCTTCTGACTTGTAAGGGGTTGCCGCCAAATCAGTAGGAAGGCTGAGCGAGCGCCCTCGGCCGGAGGTGTGACCGGGGCTGGAGGCCGTGGTCTCTGAGCCTGCTGACGGCCGCCCGCTGGCTCCGCAGGGTGACCCCAACATCCCTGCCGGGCAGCAGACAGTAGAGATCGACCTCAGGCACCGCATCCACCTGCCCGACATTGAGAGCCTCCGCGACTTTAACGAGCTCTCGCGCATCGTCCTGGAGGTGCGCGAGCAGGTGCGCCAGGAGCAGCAGCAGGAAGGTGGGCCCGAGGACGCCGCGGGCCTCGGCCGGCAGAGCCCCCAGCCCTGCGCGGAGCCACCCGCCGAGCAGGCCAAGGGGCCCGGGGATGGAGGGGCCGAGGCCGCGGCTGAGCCGCCCGCCCAGTCGGGGCAGGGGCAGCCGTTTGTGCTGCCAGTGGGCGTGAGCTCGAGGAACGAGGATTATCCCCGGACCTGCAGGATGTGGTAAGGATGCCGCGGGGCGGGCAAGACGGGGCTTCCCGGAGGGGACTCTGCCCGGCCGGCAGGGAGGTGGCCTGGGGTGGGGCCGACCCCGCGCTGGGGGCCCTGCACTGGTGGGGAAGCTCTGCCTACTTGGGCCGGGTCCCAGCTCGGGCCGAGCAGACTGTGAGGCTCCTGTCTCCTCACCCCTCTGGGGGCCTCAGCTGCCAGGCAGGGGGCCTCCTCCCCAACATCTCTCACTGCACAGCCGCTGAGATCAAAGGTAGACAGGCAGACAGGTGAGACGTCAGGCAGCACTGAAAGCAGGTCGTGGCGTCCCTCCCCGCGCCTCCCCTGGAAAGCCTGCTCGCGGCGTCCTGGACGGCCTTGCAGGGAAGGCCTGTCCTGGGGTCTCACCGCCTCCTCATTTTTTCGTGTGGTTTCTCCCCGGCTCTAACAGCCTCCCCACAGAGGCCGTGGGCCCCGGTCTGGGACAGGGCCTGCCCGCTGCTGCTAGCTCCTCACTTGGCGTGCTGTTTGCATGGTCCTGTCTTAGAGATGCACGCCCTGCCCCGGTCCCCTGCACTCCAGGGCTGTTTAGTTTAACTACAGAGAATAAAATGAAAATTCAGGCCCTCGGGCACACTGGCCACATTTCAAGTGTTCAGTAGCCACTCGTGTGTTGGACAGTGCAGGTCTAGAACATTCCATCGCCATAGAGAGTTCTCATGGACAGTCACCTCGGGGTTCATTGAGGGAGGAACCTGTCAGTCTCCTGGCAGATTATCACAGCCGACTTTTCTCTGCCTTTGTCACGTTACGTGTGAAGGTTTCTTTCTTTACCTCTGGGCCATCTGCTGCCTCTCGTGTGCCCGCAGTGGTCTCCTAGGCTTTTCACATGTAGGCGGGCGCACGCCGAGCTCCCCAAAGGGAATTTAGGCGTCTGCGTGGACTTGATGGAAAAAAATTCATTACATTTTCTTCATGTTAATACAGTTGTGATAAAAGATGCTGAATTTGGGTTTTCTGGAGGGATATGTACACATAGCGAATGTGTGAATTTTTGAAAGGTCATAAAGGAAAAGGCTTTGTTATCCCTGGGAAACTTGCAGCATCTCAGGGCCAGCTCAGAGCCCTCTGGCAGCGCTGGCCTGGAAGCTCTGGCCCAGCCCCCGGCTGTGTCATGGGGTGGTCCTCCACCCGGTGCTAAACATCAGGGGCTCGGCCAGGAGGGGCGCATGCGTTCTCTGGCACTGCCACAGTGCCTGCGCAACACACGTCTCTGTGTATCTAAGCTTGGTGCACCCCCCCGAAACTCTCTGAGCCATGGGCCCTCAGGCGCAGGGCTGCTGTCCCCCTCCCGCCAGGCAGAGCCTCAGCATGGTGGGCAGAGGTGGGCGTCCCAGGCACCATTCCACGCATTGGGAGGTTCAGGCCAGCCCCTAACTCCTCGTCACCTGTTCTTTGCAAGAAAGAAATAAACATATTACAGCCTGAGTCTCAAAACTTGGCTATAATGGGTATTTGAAAGTTCTGCTTCTGGTTAATGTCAGTTGCATGCCAATAAATCATTATCGATTCCATTTGAGTTGTTCATATGTGGACCTAACTGTCCCGGGGACTGCGATTTCTGTTACCTGGGTCTGCATCATAAAGACATGTACTTTGGGATAGAGAATACGAGGTGGGGCTGCCTGGGACCCTCGTCCTTTCGTTGGGTGAGCTGGTAGAGAGAGCGCAGTGGTCGGCGGGGTGAGCCCGACTGTGTGGGGTGAACGCCGGCTTCCCCAAAGGCGCAGGGCCCCACCTCTGTGCAGAGCTGCTGGCAGATGGTGGAAGTGGCCTGGAGGTGGAATGGAGAATGTTCCAGAACGTCCAGGACCACGGGTGATGGGCTTGGGCCAGCACGCGCCTTCGAGGCCCCGCTCATCCCCTCTCCCCGCGCTTTCCCTCTTGTCCTTGTTCAGTTTCTACGGCACGGGCCTCATCGCCGGCCACGGCTTCACCAGCCCCGAGCGCACCCCTGGGGTCTTCGTCCTGTTCGACGAGGATCGCTTTGGGTTCATCTGGCTGGAGTTGAAGTCCTTCAGCCTGTACAGCAGGGTCCAGGCCGCCTTCCGGAATGCGGACGCCCCGTCCCCACAGGCCTTCGAGGAAATGCTCAAGAACATCCAGTCCCTCGCCTCCTGATGGCCCACCGCCCCGCGGCGGGCGGCCCGGGCTGGGAGGGCAGCAGTGTGCGCTCAGGAGACGCGGCCTCTGACCGGAACACCCACCTCCTCGTAGGAGCCTCTGCGCGGCCTCCCCAGACGCTTTCCGTGGACGCCCACATATCTGCCAGTAGCAATGGGAAAGCTGAGCATGTCTGAAACAAACAACAGAACCAGAACAAACCGCCTTAGAGGACGGGCTGCAGGGCACGTAGGTGACTGAACTGGAGAAGTTGGCCATTTTCTAGGGAAAACAAAATCCTCCTCCAGGAAGGTTCACAACGCAACAGAGTCTGTTGCCTCCAGCCGATAGAAGGGGTCATGGGTGAGGTGTGTGGGCTCCACCATCCCCTCTGCAGGAAGTGAGCCAGAGGGCCTTGGTGCCTTCGACACAGCCTGGGCAGGTGGGGCACTGTGTGTGGAATAAGGGCTCCAGGGAGTCGGGCTTGGGACCCACTTCTCTACCGACTTGCTTGGATTTTGGACAAAGGCATTTCACCCTGATCTCAGTTTCCAAATCAGTGGAATGGGGCCAGTGATACGGGTCACTAGGGAACACCACTGCAGGCCTTCCAGCAGCTTGGAGGCCCTGCAAGCACCGCCCGACCCCGGTCCCTGCGGTGCGGTGTGCCTGCCCGGCCTCTCAGGCTCTAGAGCCTAGACCTTCACTGCAGCAGTTCAGACAGGCATTCACTTAGTTCACGCCTTGCCCCTGCCCCGCACTCACTGCTGTCAGACCCTGAGCTGCAGCCGCTGGTCTCAGAACCAGGACAGGGCACCCTCTGAGATGACCTGCGTCTGTTCCTCCTGCTTGCTTTACACAGGTGCCGCTCTGAGAGGGGCGAAGCAGCAGAAGGGGTTGTGCCAGGTGAGCGTGACGTCCCTTTGCGGGGGGTGGGGGGCTTTCTGGACGCTGCACGTAGGGAGCGCACTTTGGAGACCAGGACCCTCAGGGAGCCTCCAGCATGCAGACCCTCCCGCTGGCATCGTCCCTGTGTCACGTTGACCCCTTCATTTGGGGACCCCTGTGAGCTCGCTCTGATCTTGCTGTGTCCTGAAGAGCGGAGCCCCGCGTGCCTGTGCACAGACCTGCTGGAGTTCTGTTCAGCCCTCCCTCCAGGCTGCACCTGCCTACCAGGACGTGTGGCTTCCCGGGGTGGACGGACTCTGTTCCTTCCCAGTTGCTCGTCCTTGTCGGCTGGACTGCGCTGAGCCCTCACACTGGGGGCGGGGGCCCCAGGGAAGGGGCAGCTTTGTGGTGCCTTTATGTAGAGACCAACCTGAGGTGTCCCATGAAACGTGGCCTGTGTCTCGTGATAGCGTTCTCCCTGACCAGCCCTTTTCTAAAACAACAACCCCCCACCGCCCCCGCTTCAGCACATTTGGCGACCCTGGCCTTCCTTTGCTCCCAGAATCACAGAAGCAGCAAGCTCTGTGCATGGCCTTGAAGCGCAGGCTGCGCCTCTCCGGAGGCTCCGTGGGGCTGCCCTGGGCACGCCGGGCACTGTCGGCCGTCTCGTCCGAGGCACGTAGGCCCCCCTCCCAGACCCTTCCAGCAGGACCCGGGGTCGGGTGGGAACGTGGTCCCAGCTCCCGCGTCTCTCGAAGGACTGAGCCTCAGAGCCTGAGGCCGGTCCCTCCCTCTCACAATGTGGCTGTTCTTCTCTCGTGCCAAGCATGGCCGTCCCCAACAGTGACGACTGGCCGCAAAGCCTTGAGGACCGTGACAACGGAGGACAGCTGGGCTAGGCTGTTCCTCTCTAGATTCCATCATTGTTTAAACAAAGTCAAGAAAATGCGTGTTTTACGCAGAGCCAAGGGACCGTCCCCCTCTGAGGCCAAGGGACCGTCTCCCCCTGAGGCCAAGGGACTGTCTCCCCCTGAGGCTAAGGGACCGTCTCCCTCTGAGGCCAAGGGACCGTCTCCCCCTGAGGCCCCCAGTGTTGCCAAGCGCACACAGATCGAAGACGAGCACTTCTGATTAAAAACCAGTCTCAAACCAAATGCTGTTCTGCCTCTAGTGTCTGGCCTACGCATGGTTTCCACTAACAGTGACTAAAATAACCCTGGTCTCTTGGCCGCGTTCACGTTGGCCTCTGTGTCTGGTGTCAGGCGGGGCCCCTGGGCCTGTGGGTGGGGTCTGTCTAGCTGGCAGTGGCCGGGGTGACGCCAGGCAGGTCAGCAGCAGTGAAGGGTGAGGGCTTGTCATCCGCACAGCCGGTCATGCAGAGGTCTCCCAGTCTGACCCGTGCTCAGCCAGCTCTTGATGTCAGTAGGTGAGGTGTAGGGACAGTGGCGGTTCTGTGCACAAAGCCGGCACTGGCCGCTCCCCTTCCTGGCAGACGGTCAACCAGCTCAGGAGGGGAACTTCCAACCAGTTAACTTGTAGGCGAGGATTCAAAAAGGCTGACGTCGTTGTCCGAGGCCTCAAGGCAACCGGGCTTTTGAAAAAGCAGGCTCCAATGGTGCACTCGACCCAGGTTAGGGGCTGGCAGCGTCCACGTGGGGCTTGATCTGGGGGTGATGGGTGGACCTCGGAGGGTCTTTAGATGTTTCCCATGGTTGGCACCGCCTTCACTGCCACTTTGCTGCCGTGAGGTTGGGGAAGGAAGCTCAGGTGCACCTCTGTGTACCTGGGCGGGCTCCACGCTCTGCTAGTCGATTGGAAATGATGTGATTGGAGATTTCAGACACGGGTCACTGGCGATTTTCCCTGTTGGGGCTGAGCGTTTTTTGCTGTGAGGCTGTGGGAAATGACCTTATTTTTTGGCCGTGGGCCTGGCCCCTCCTGCAATACAGTCCAGCTCACTGGCTGGTGCTCACAGCCACAGCCGCCCTGCTCTGCCCCTTGCCCCCTCCTGCCCCGACACCAGGCTGCTCAGTGCCAGGTGCCTGCGTCCCTGGCCAACGCGGAGGGCGGGAGAGTGCACAGCGGTCTAACTAGCTACATTCCCGCTTCCTGCAGAACAAGCGCAGGGGTGCAGTTGTCCTGCCAGACTTTCTAACTGAGTTGTTTCCAGATGACCAGACCCCTCCCTTAGCCAGCTGCCCTCTCGGCCTGACACCTTCAGGGCTGGTTGCAGTGTGCGGGTTGCCCAGGTTGCACAGCTGCTGCTATGAGGACACTTCAGTGCTTGTGAGCTGAGCTGAAGAGGATCAGAAACCTGCTCAGCCCTTTGTCATTCGGGGAATTTCCTAAGCTCCTTGTGACCACGGTGTCTCGAGTGTAGACTGGGAGCACCTGACTGTGACTCAGTAGCCATGTTCTTTTGGATACTTTCAAGAATGCCTACGGGAATGTTCTCATATAACCCTCACCTGCCTTGAGGATAAGATGACCCAATTCATGGTCCATCCCAGTGTTAACGTAGGCCAACTTCTCTGTCTTTACTTTTGGGAGAAGATCTGAAGTGTAATTTGTATGTTCTCAGAACAATTTAGAGACAGAAGAAAGCCACAATGCCATCAGTTTGCCTGATGCTGTGCATGGGAACCATCCAGAGCGGTGTTGTTTACAGCTGGGTGGCCTGCAGGCCAGCCTTCCATGGGGCCAAGGTGACCAGCAGTGGCACCGGAGGCTCGGACAGAAAGGCAGCCCCTCCTCTGGGTCCTTTCTGTGCTCGCCGGGAGACCAGCCAGAGCACGTGAAGGGATCAGAACATTTTGCTTTTTTAGCTTAATTCAGTACTTTTGGTTGTTGTTTGAGATCATACAGTCCACTTGGAGAAGAAAAACTTTTATCCTGTGTGATCTTGAAACCCCACCCCGTGAGTGAGAAAGACAAGAGTGGAGATGGAAAGAGTCGTGGTCGCTCTCAGGCATCCGCTCGGGCTTGCCAGGTGCGGCTGGGGCAGGGCCAGGACCCGAGGAAGCAGCTGCCGTGAGCCTGGGCCCCGGCTTGTGACCCGGACACGACAACCATGCGGGGTTGTTCCTCCATAAAGCAGCTTCTGAAATCTTATTGTGTGCTTTGTAATTTATTCCTTTCGGGATGTGGTTCAGATGGAGGCTGGAGCCCTAAGCAACATGGCCTATGGATGTGGACAGGGGACGATCGTGGGAGGGGGCTGCGGGTCGAGGGAGGGGACTGGGGCACGGGTGGGGGGCCTCCCCAGGGGCCTGCGCTTTTCACACTTGATTTTGACAAAATTTTGATTTTCCCAGTTATGGAACGGAGTGGTGAGTGACCCCCGGGGTCACCAGACAACCGTGGGTCCCTGGATTCCTCCCTTTCACCCAGCGGACATGTGTCCCCCTCCCCAGCAAGGCAGCCCTGAGGGCAGGGCCGAAGTGGGTTTTCTTAGTCTGAAGTCTAAGTAAGTTGCTGTTTCTGAGAACAGAAGGGCAGGATAGATAGGGCAGGGCATGTGCTCAGCGGCTGGGCATACAGCTGAGGAGCTCATTTATGTATTATTTTAACCTGTTTACAAAAGTAATATTCTTGTGAAAAATTCAAATGTTTTATGTAGGAAGTAAAAGTACCTCATGTTCCCATCCAGCTGGGCCTGGAGCCCTGAGAAGGGTTGGGGCTAGGTCCCCTCCCCCATCCGGGGCGTCGCATCACCCCCATCCCTGCAGGCACCGTGCTCGCCCTTCCCCGCGGCAGGAGGCTGCATTGGTGGCCCTGGGGAGTGTGCTCCCCTCCGGCCCGGCGTCCCTGTGACCGGGTCCCTTTGTAGCCCGCCCTCTAGTGGGCACGTAGAGTCGCTGCACGCTGTGTGACCCCAGCCAGCAAGGTGAAAACAACAAAGAAAGAAGATACGCCACTTGGGTAAAGTTTTCAGACCTTTCCCCCCACTTTGACTTGAAAATCCATGAGTGATGGAAGGCCGCCTTTCAGGAAACTTGGGGAGGGGAGGGCTGGCAGCTCTGCCCCGCCCTGGGATGAACAGGTGCTTCTCCGGGAGCGGACTCGGAAGGAGGCAGCCGGTCACCCAGGACACCCACGAGGGGCCCTAGAGGCGGACCTGAGAAGCAGACCTGAGGTCCACCCGATGGTCCTGCTCTCGTGGCACGCACGCGCACCCTCAGCCTGGGCCGAGCCTCAGACACAAGATCTTTTAGGGGAAACCAGCCCCGCTGCTGCCTAGGCCCCCTGGAGCTTAGTCCCCAAGCCCGGCTGCTTGCTTGGGGCGGGGCTTCTCCACCAGTCATGAGGTCTCCACGTTTGGGGCCAGGTGATTCTGTGCTGGGCCACCCCGCTTGCTGTAGCGGCTGAGCTGCATCCCTGGCCTCCCCCATCATGACAACCAAAAACGTCTCCAGATGCGGCCATAGTCCCCTGGGGACTGTCACCTGGTGGAGAACCACTGGGTATGTACCTGCACCTCCATGCCCCAAACAGGGTGCCAAGTGTTGGGGACACAGCAGTGAACGGGTGGCAGGGTCTCAGTCCTGCACAGGTCACAGAACAGAACATCCCCCAAATGGGCTCAGGCAGCCTCCCCTTGACTCTTGGGTGCTGTATCAGGTGATGATCTGTCTCCAGTGCAATGAGGGGTCAAGGCTGAGATGGAAGCTGGTGCAGGTGGTCATGTGGTACCTGGCCTGCAGGGCCCAGATGGTGGGCGAGGTGCTGTGTCCTCACCTATCTCCCTTTCTACCCAGGAGGACGTCACTCCCAGAACCTCAGCAGGGGCCCAGGAACGGGGTGTCTGCAAAGCTCCAGAGCCGTGGGCTCCTCCCTGGTACCAGCCCCGTCCTCGGCACATTTCCCCGGCTCCTGGTGGGCAGGAGTGGGCAACGGCTGTTGTGGCAACAGCAACACTGCCTGCCACTCGAGCTGGTGGCTTGGCATCCCGAAGGGTGGGCAGGCGTGAAGCTCAGCGCCACCAGGTCCTCAGCAGGAGGGAGATGCCTGCCCAGCCCTGGCATGCTGAACTATGATCTCTGGGGAGAGGGGTTGAGCAGTCGAGTTTTGCAAACCCCGCAAAGGATTCTGATGTTGCACAAATATCTCCTTTTCCAAAATCTTTTGGGAAGAGGATTCCAGAGAAAATACCTCAAGGAACATGATTTTAAACACATAGCTGTTCTTGGCACTGTAGTGGGAATCACTGGACTGTCCTTTTTTATTTCATGGTTAGGTTTTTTGAGTTATAAATTATGTCATTTTTAGCGTAAGTAAATTTCTTTAAGTTGACCAACACATAGAGCTGTGAACAGGCACCACAGTCGAGATCCAGAATGTTCCATCTTCCTCAGAATCCCTGGTGCTGCCCTTTCATAGCCAGTGCCCCGCTCCGAAACCACTCATCTCTTCTCCATCCCTAGTTTTGCCTTTTTTAGAATGTCAAACTGAATTGCATAGTATGTAGCTCTTTTAGTCTGGTTTCTTTCATCAGCAGTTTCTCAGCCTTTTATTCATTATCATCTCCCTCCAAGGAGCTTTTTTAGACATTTTTTTCCCCTAATACTCCCCATGACAATTAAACGCCACAGATACAGTTTATATGTACTGTATGCATTTGTGTGGGTCTGTGTGCGTGTGTGAGCCCAGGTGGATGGCCCCACTGCCATAGAATGTCTCTCCTGTTCCCAGCGTGCCACAGTTCTATTGGAAGGCAAGCTCCCATGGGGCGCCATGGGTGCAGGGAACATGGTGCCGAGGCCTCTCCTAGGGGACACTTCAGTGATCTCGGGGAAGGCGCTAGGATGGGGCCCTTGGTACCTCGGAGGTGGGGGTGAGACAGTGACAGAGGCACTTGAAAACGAACAGACTCTCCTAGCCTGGTGGCCTGGCTCGGCTGTGCCGTTTCATAGCCCTCTGACAACAGTGAGGAGGAGGATGACAGTGGTCCTGTGTCCCCCAGCAGATTGCAGGAGCTCGCAGTGAAGAAGGGAAGGGAAGCCGAGACGCTGATGTCACAGCCACCGAAGAGAGAAGTCTAGGTGTCTCGGTCAGTGAGGGTGACGATGAAGCCTATGGTCCTACGAGGAAAGGGTAAGGTTTGGGGCAGCAGAGTTGACATCACGCTGTCCACCGGTGGGAACCTGTCACATCATGCAGGGCCCCCATCCGGGTAAAAAGTGAGTCCTGTGTCCAGGGCCATGACGACAGTGGCACCTGGTGTGATCTTGACCAAAACCGCTGTGTGGCTTGGGCTGGGAAGACACTTGAGTGCTCAACGTCAGAGAGACCCAAAAAGTTATGAGACATGAGAACTTAAGAATTACAGTTCCTATTTAGATTTTATTTGAAAATCGTGATTTCAGTTAATCCGTAGGATTTAGGTTTGTGGAACTCCTATGCCTGTCACAGGTCAGTTAGGCAAGGCTATCTTGAAATAAGCCAACCTCAAAACAAAAGCACAACTTTTTGGTTCTTTTCTGGGTTACCAGTAATACGTACTTTTTTTTTTTTTTTGCGGTTTGCGGGCCTCTCACTGTCGTGGCCTCTCCTGTTGCAGAGCACAGGCTCCGGACGCGCAGGCTCAGCAGCCATGGCTCACGGGCCCAGCCGCTCCGTGGCATGTGGGATCCTCCCGGGACCGGGGCACGAACCCGTGTCCCCTGCATTGGCAGGCGGACTCTCAACCACTGCGCCACCCGGGAAGCCCCAATACATACTTTTTAAGGAATGTTCTCGAAGACACAGATATAGACACGTGTGAGAGTGGGAAGTGGCTGTCCTTCAGCTGCTGGACGAGCCAGCACTGTGTGTGTGTGTTTTTGTCTGTGTCCTCTAGTGGACATAAGCTCTCACTCTCTTGGGTGTATACCCGGGGGAGGGGGGGCGGGGAACTGCTTGGCCATAGGGTATTCACACGTTTAGGCTTTGTAAATACTGCCCAACAGTTTGCCTATATGGTTGTATCCATTTTGTGAGTAATGTATGAGGGTTCCAGCTGCCACATCCTCTACAAACTTGGTACCGTAAGTCCTTTTAACTATTTTTGGTGGGGACGGGGACGGTGATGAGTCACTCTTGACATGAGATGGCAAGTCCAAGGGGTGAGGGCCAGACTTTCTAGGGGGGCACAAACCTGTCTTCTATGCTACCACGATGTTCCAGTGGGCTCAGGAGGAGAATGCAAGGAAGCCAAGGGCCCTCCAAGGCTGGCAGAGACAAGACAGCCATAAATAAAATGCTAGGCTAATGGTGAGATTCCTGGATAATTTTGTCATTAGCTATTAAGAGACCAGTGGTGACATTATTTATAGACACACATGCGGTGGGGGGGTGGTGGTGTCTGAAATAATTAGCAGCTAATATGGTGGGGTGCTGCCCAGTCAGCATCGGTGTTGGCCCGGAGAGCCTGCGTGGGGGTACTGGCTGGAAGCTCAGCCCTGTTTACACTTCATAAACTTACCAGTTAATAAAGAGCCAAGAATCCTGAGCAGTGCCCGGGAACTCTTGTTTGTCCATGGCTAGAACGCAGCACGTGGAGATGTGCCCCCCCCTCCAAATAAAAAGAAAAAAAGCAAAACAAACACTGAGAAGTCTGTTTCCAAGAAATACTTTTTTTTTTTTTTTTGCCCCACGGTGTGGCTCGCTGGATCTCAGTTCCCCGATCAGGGATTGAAGCCGGGCCAAGGCATTGAAAGCTCGGAATCCTAACCACTAGGTCAGCAGGGAACTCCCATGCTTCCAAGAAATACAAATCTGATCTTGTGATAAAGATCACAGAGAGGCAGAAAACATTCAATTTTACTAAAATGTGAAGACAAGCATCGTGTCTTCATTTCGGAAACTGCCCAGAGCGCACACGTGCGAGGTGGAGGAAGGAGAGATCAACGGGTAGAGAAACGGGCCGAGCGTTCAGAACCGCACGGCATCTCTGGATGTCAGTTGTTTTGAATTCCACGGCCTTCGAACCCCCAGGTTGCTTAAGAAACACACATTCTCTAAAGTCACAATTTGAGCCCGATTCAGGCAGTGACTTGCGGGGCGCCCGGTTAAATCTGAGTGTCAGAAAAACAACGACTTCAACTACAAGTACGTCCCGGGTCCTGCGTGGGACACACTCCTACCGAGATGCTCCCCGGTATCCGGAATAGGCCCTGGGCCGGCACCGCGCCCCTGCGGCCTCGGGGGGCGGGTCCCACCTCTTTCTCTCCTTCCAGGGGACAGAGACCCCGGCTAGTGTGCCCCGCGGCCCCGCAGGCCCGTCCTTCGGAAATGGTGAGCGGGCATTCCCGGGAGTGAGGGGGTGGTTCTTCCGGGGCCGACGCCCATCCAGGCCAGGCCGGGGCCACAACCGACACGCGGTCAACCGCGCCGGCCCGACCTCCGCTCAGTCCCCGAGAGGAGCCCCGCCCCGCCCCGCCCCGCCCCGCCCCGCCCCGCCCCGCCGACCTCGCCCTGCTGACCCCGAGGCCCGTGACGCCAGGGCCCAATCAGCTGCCAAGTAAGTGCCTAGAAGGTAGCGTCTGATTGGCTGAATGAGGGCCAATCAGCGGCGTGCGCAGAGGGCCGTCGCCGGAAGAGCCTGGCCTCTGAGGGGCGGGGGTGGCGGAAGAGGAGGGACGTTGGGGGTCGGAGGAGGCCCCGGGGAGGGACAGGGCGCAGAGAGGCGGACGGTCTGAGGGAGGAGTGACACGCCTGGGCCAGTCCCCGCTTTCGTCACCGCCGTCATCATGAGCTTCGTCACCCCCCTCTCCACGACTTAGAGTCGCGGCGGGCACTTCCGGGAGCCCTCGGGTGTCGGTCTGTCAGCGCGCACTCACCCCGAGCGCGTCATGACAGGCAAGTGACCCCTCAGTCCTAAACTCTGGGCCACCACTCTACACCTGGGGGCCCGGCACCCGAGTCACCTGAGGGAACCCGGACCCCGAGTCACCTGAGGAAGCCTAACCCCGAGTCACCTGGGAAAGCCGGACCCCGAGTCACCTGGGGAACCCGGACCCCGAGTCACCTGAGGGAAACCGGCACCCGAGTCACCTGAGGGAAACCGGACCCCGAGTCACCCGGGGAAGCCGGACCCCGAGTCACCCGGGGAGCCCGGACCCCGAGTCACCCGGGGACGCCGGACCCCGAGTCACCCGGGGAAGCCGGACCCCGAGTCACCCGGGGAAGCCGGACTCCGAGTCACCCGGGGAAGCCGGACCCCGAGTCACCCGGGGAAGCCGGACCCCGAGTCACCTGAGGGAACCCGGACCCAGAGTCACCCGGGGAAGCCGGACCCCGAGTCACCTGAGGGAAGCCGGACCCCGAGTCACCTGAGGGAAGCCGGACCCCGAGTCACCTGA